TATTAGCTTTATATTTAGTANCTTGCAGGGATTGCTTTCGTCCTGGTTGTAAGATGCGTATTTCCTCATTTGGCAATGTTTAATATAGTCAAGCGCAATGAAAGAAATGTTGAATATTTTTCTATTTTTAATTGTCGAGCTAACGAAAGCTTGAGCGAATTTTCCCTTATTTAACTTAGAAGGCTCACTAATTAAACACTGTCAATACTACGCCTTGCATTATTGACAGATAGAGTAGGAAAACGTTTCATAATTAAAATTAAAAGTCTTCTCATGTTACGCAGCAGAGCTTGGTGTATGTTTTGCCTTTTCTCTTACTCTCATGGCTGTAAAAGTGAATGGCCTTTTTATAGTAGAGGACGTATTATCCGTACAGAAGGATAATGCCTCCTCTCCGTTTTTATACTAAAGACTCATCAACCGTCTGGGCGAACTTGGACAAACATTTGAAGTTCGTCTGGTTATGCGTCTTTAGTTTAAGACAGGCACAAAACAAGACGTATTATGGGTTTAGACGAGCTATCCTTCGAAATGCGTCTTGAGCGACGCAATACGAGAGATAGTTCGTCTAGACGCATAATACGTCTTGTGCCCGTCTTTATACTAGAGACGCGCACATAACCAGAAGAACTACAAATGTTTGGACCGACATCGAACTTGTTATTGTTGTGAAAAGTCGTATTCCCAGAGTGAGCCTAGTTAGAGCACGGAATTTATCTAATATCAACAATGCACTGCAACTATAACCAGCTTACCACAAAAAGGTAGCGGTGTCTTATTTCGAGGGAGTTATGTGCTGCTTCTATTAATGACGGCATCTTTATAAAATATTCTTATTTCTTCTCTTCAAAAGAAAAGTTATAAGTTTTCACGCCTTTAATACCAGGATTAAAACTTAAAAAAGCCAAATTTTGAAACTTTCAAAAGAATGAAGTTAAATGGAACAATAACGGACTTGTTTTTTTATGCTTGTGAAGAATTAAAGGTGGTAGTCACATTTAATAAGGGTGTAATACTTTCAGTTTGTTATCCTTTGAAACTGGCCAACTGTAAATTATCAATATGAATTTCTATTAGCTTTATATTTAGTAGATCGTTTTGTCCCTAGGTGTATACTTTTAGACAACGCTCATCTTTTTAAACATCGATATGAGTTTGATCTATGATATACTGTCGACAGCTATATTATTATTATTATCATTATTATTATCACAGTTTCGGTCCAGCTGAGGTATTTTACCTTAGTGGTAAACAATACTCTTTCCTTGGATCACTGCAATTTTGCTTTTTTAAGTGATATATCAGACACAAAAGACCGTGTTTGAGCAGGTCTCCAAACACCGAGAAGAGCGTTGAAAATAAGACGCCAGCGGAGTCAAATACTGTCAAATAGGAGCAGTATTTTTCTGGTACAAAAGGAAATAAGGATTTGGATCATTTTTAATCGAAAGCTAACAAAACTTAACAATTATAAATCATCACGAAAACCGTAGTTAATCATCGTTGCAATGTTATTTCTTTATACCATGCGTGCAAGAATGAAACAAAATGTTGTTTTCCTCCTTAACGATAAGCAGCAGGTATCCACAAGCTTCCTTTAATTGTTTTTCATGACTATGCACTTTGTGTGCACCTGCTTATGTACTGTCTCCTCAAAAATAACACGCGTCCGATGCGTATACACGAAAGGGTTTCTCCGCGCTTCACGTCACCACAACATGAGCCTGGTGTGTGAAAATTTCAGTTCTTACAGTGCCTCAGTCTACCCATATTAAGAAATAGCTACCAGGGAATTAAATGCTGGCAGGAGCTCGTGACCCACTGGTTCCTGATTCTGGGGATAACACTTCAATGGACTATTATCCCATCAAGGGGTGGGGTGGGGTGGGAGGGGGGATAGCAGTAATGCTATGGCCCGTTCACACCAGCTAAACTAATTTAACTAAAAAACACCTGAACTTAGTCTAGAACTCAGAACTTCATGGCGTTTTTCCGGTTTGTCGATTATCCTTTGCAGTCATTTTGAAAAGATAAAATTTGAAACAACTGCTGCTATTGGGATAATTGTTCTCGATCTTGTTGGAATGTTGGATGACCGTAGGTCCAGAGATTCATGATTTGGTTTTAACCTTCATCGCAGTGTTTTTTAGAGAATAGTTGATACCTCTAAACGCACGCCAATTGACGCCATCGGCATGAGAAGAATGTGGTCCTTTCAGATATAAACCGTTAAGATTGGAGCTATGACAACCACTGTACCACCAGGCTCCTTTAAAATTTTGTGCGCAGCTGTCATTAGCTTGGTCATTGTCTTTATCTTTCGTAGAAAACTGCATACCACTAAAAGAAAGTAACGATTAAAAACTTGCTTTGAAGTTCTGCGTCATGAAGCAGGGACCTCAGTTTTAAGCGTTGCATCGTGCGCACTGCAATGCAGTGCTCTTGCAAACTGTTCACGCTACAAATTAGAAATGAACCAATGTCCACTTCGTCTGCAGCAGCTTGCGTACTGTCCCTGTAACTTGCGTCCTATGTGTCCATACGAAGGAGCTTGTCCCTTCTTATCGTCCCCCCCC